AAAAAAGCACTCTGAATTTAAAGATATCTGCAGTCTTGTGGGTGCCAGAGCACTTACAGGATGAGTGTCTAGTGAATCACTGAGTAATGCTTCTGCTCCATAAAGGTGCTTAAATACGTGTGAATCTTCTCCTAAGAGGCTAATACAGCTGTTGCAAATTCAAGGGTTTAGTTTTGCACAGCTGAAGTGAAAAGAACAATTCTTTTATGTTCTAGCTAGGTATTTGTAATGCTGTTCTTAATGCAGTGTTTGAATGTCTTATAAACAGTATTGCTCCTACACTTGTACCATATTGAAGGGGAAAGTACTGAAATCATTTATTGGGAGAATGATTTAGTGGGAATTACACAGCTGATCACAAAATGGAATACAGTATTTAGATGAAAACTTTTAGTGAAACTCCAGATCTGAATGAGGCTGATAAACACTTTAAAATTATTTAAATCATTAAATTAGTATTAATTCCTTTTGTTCTTACAAAGATTTACCTAAAGCCATATCTACCCTTGTTAGTCATTTGGACCTTGTGAATTAAACATTTGAACACCTTTAAACTACATCCATGGTGAGGATGTAGTCTTTCCCATGTTCCAGAGGAAAGTCAGACAAAGATAAATTCTGCAGAATAGGAATCAACTCAGGTGTCCAGACTATTGCCTTAACCATTAGGTAGTGCTCTCTTTACAGTTAGCATCATACAAGTTTAAAAGTGGTCTAATAGTGCCACATAAAAACTGTCAGTAAATTTTATGCCTATTCACAAAGCAAAGCCATGTTTCCCAAAAGAAACTGTTTTGGATGAACAAATACTTCTTGTCATACAAAATTTGGAGGTGCAGGATGGGAGAGAAGTGTGTCTCTGGAGTTCAAGCATGAATGAGGTCAGATCCACGTGACATACTCAATTTTTTTGGCTATTTATGTGATTTCGTGTCCTGGTCAGAGATACCATAAATATGTATCCATTGTTTCCATTGAAATTGTGTACTTGAATACTATGGTGGTCTTTCAACATAGCAGATTTTTTTGTCCCCTGCAGTGTTCTATTCTTCTCAACTTCTTATAATTAGCTCTCTAAAAGGACTAGAATTCTGCCCCTGCAATGTAAATAAATATGTTAGATTTAGTATTTTTTAGTTGAGGAAAAATATTCTGACGTTGCTGAACCTGTAAAACACCTACAAAGCCTGTCTTCTACAAGCAGTGTGTTTTCTAGTAATAAGTCCTTATAAAGAGGATCAATGTTTGCCCAGTGTTTGAGGTTTACACTTAATTACCTACTTGATCCTGATTCATTAAAGACACACATATGTTAATTGATTAACAAAAACAGTTCCACTCAGTCAGTTGTAGCTCTTCAATGATGAACCTACATCCTTAAAAATCTAGCAGAAACAGTAAAATTTATATAGAAAGCATACATAGAGTAGATCATAGCAGGAAGCTTGAAATATTTAGAATCACCCTGTAACTCTCTTACGTGCCTTGCTAAAATAGCCCTATTGATGCCAACAAAGGCAGGTGCCCGTGAGTGAGTTGTATGTCATGTTCTGCAGGTAGCAGAATCATTAAATATTGTGCAATGCTGTCATTGGTAATAAACCAGACAGAGTGGAATTAGTTGGGAAGTGAATAGCGAGGTCTTAAAAGTTTCTAAATTGCTGGACCAATCTAAAAGGCACTTGCATTTAGAATCACATTAAAAGAGTCAACTTTCTTGTGGTATCAGTAGCAATGGAGGTTGCTAAATTCCATGTTTTGCAAATAGCTGCATCAGCAGATAGTGACACTTAAAATTGTACTATAAGCTAAGAAGGGCCACAGGGACAGGAGGATGCATTTCGTTGCACACAGGAAAAATTTCAAAGCCTAAGAGAAAATGAAGCTATGTTATACAGTACATTTCTGGTTTTTGCACCTCAGATAATAAAAAACCACAGCAGTTAGTTTCATTTTACAGTTACTGTGTGCTGATAATAGGACAGAACTGCAGTTGTGGTCAGCAACAGAAGAGGCAGCAGCAGGGGGAAGACATTATGTCAATGAAAAAAATGTTTGTCTTGAAATTTGTGTGCATCAGCTTAGAGGAATAAGAAATACAATGACTTTTTCACTAATCAAATTAATGACCATTTAAGGGACAAAGAAAATATTTAAGCACTACACAGTTCATTCCTGTTGGCATGAACTGGAATTCCCAGATAATGACATCAGATCTCTGCATTAGAAAACTAAGACCACATACTCGATAACCTTGCCAGTACAGGTATATAAAATGACACATTTCTGTAATCTGCTTCAAAAGGCAGTACTAGAAATGTTAAATTACCAAACATGTTAAAGCAAACCTAACCAGAGTTTCACTATCTTTTGTTTGTCTTTATGGCTGTGGGAAATGACCACTGGGGGATCTGATTCTTTAATGCGTTTTTGAGAAAGTGAAACTATTGTCTATTCGAGCTCACACACAGTTGTGAATGAAAATAGTTTTCATGCTCTTGCTAAACAGAGAAAACTCATATGGTCTTGCTATTTAATGCAATTGCAAATGGAAGGTTTTGCTTCTGATTAGCAGTGGTATTGAAACAAAATTTTTCCTAACATTCTTGAACTTTAAGCAAAAGTTCAGTTGGAAACCCAGTCCAAACAGTTACTGCCAGCCATTATATTCTGTGCTAAAATTGCTCTCCATCAGTGATGCTACAATCCTCTACCTCCTGGGGTCAATCTTAAGTAGTTGTAGGAATAGACTTCAAACTCATGTTGTAAGAATGACTTCTTTCTATAAATCCAGGTCTCCAGCCCAAGACTTACTGAATATACAAGGTTACAACTCTGCTGTTGTTGCCATTTTACTAGTACCAAATACATGCTTATCAAGCTAACAGTTTTTTAAAGGTGGAGAACTAACAGCTATAGATAGCATAGATACTTTTTTAGCAAAACCACACTAGGGGTTACTCAAAACTAATGGAAAGCCTCTTAATAAGTACAGTGGCCTTGTGTAACAACTGACTGCAATGTGAAAACTAAAAAACTTCTTAAATACAGAAGAACTGGGAAACAAACCAAAACAACTACTTTTGCACAATAGCTATTTGGTAAACAACCACATGCATGTATAATCCTGGACACTTTTGCTTTGCACTGTGTGTAACAATTTGAGAGGCAGCAGACTCAGCTCATCTTTGACAGAGCTCCTTTCCCAGACTAACACCAAATGTTTACTTAAGAAGAAGATAATAAAAAATGTGTTATATTTAATCCAACGGCACTTTTTTTGCTCATTATTTCAGTATTTGTGGACATTTCTTGTTTTCCTGCAGCCTTGAAAATGTTTGTGGTGTAGAAACAGCTGGCTCTTTCATTTCTTGATGTCTGCTAACAGATCTCAGCAGCCAACTGCTCACTGACACAAGTATCTGTATATTCACTGAACCCCTAGCTCGCCCATGAGTAGTTGTGAAGGGGGAAGCATTGTAGAGCCCAGGCTGTTATTGCCTGACCACAGACCTGACCACATCAGAGCATGAGTAACAGCACTGTGCCCAAAGCCAGGGATGGCCGGAGGTTCCTGACCTGGATTATGGTGATGATTTTCTTAAAATCATTTTCCAGAACATACATGCACATGTCAAATGGAAGAAACCGTTCATTTTCTTTATTCTTTCTCACCAATGCAATGTGCATTTTCTTTGCTGTCTGCAACAAATTGGCAGTCAAATTTGTCATAAATTACATCCTTGTGTTGAGGCAGAATGCTTTTCTGGTAACTGAGGCTACTTACTCTTCTTTTTTCTTTCTTTGCAACATCAGACTGCATTTTCCTAAGATAAGCCTTACATGGATTGTTTGCAAAGCGAATGGAGTCTTCTTTTCCATCTTGCAGTGGCTTTTTGCATCAAATTTCTCAAGAGCAAGAAGACTTTTCCAATCCAGTAATACTTTCTTACTGAGCTTTAGCTCCAAGCAAATGTCATCTCCAAGTTATTATAACACCTGTTGAACAACAGAAACGTCTAGAATAATGTCTTTAATAGTTTTAAGCCAATTCTGGGGCACTTAACATTTCAGATAATTCACTTTATAGGGAAATATTTACTTTGCAGAGGAATACTTAAACTCTGTGCTATGATGTCATGTTATCATTGCTGCATTATTATCTTCAGTTAACTTGGAGGACAGTACTAGGAACCATGCAGAAGCTGCCGTGAGTTCATATCACACTGCTACCTGCTGTGTCTTGCAGCCAGCTACCTCCAAACAGGCAGTGTGCTCCTGGGGCAGGACATAAGCCAGAAGTTCTTGCAACATTTAATTCCCCAATACAACAGTCTAACTAAATGTTAACTGACCCTCTTGGGTGTTATGTCTTAGCACCTTTTCAGCTTCATCAGAGAGATGTTGCTCTCACAGGTGTACAGCATCATTGCCTTTCAAGGATCACAGCTGAAGTTCTTCAGGTTTGATTTCAACTTCTTTTTACAGGGATTGCCATGCAGTCAGATGTGTGATCTTTCATGGCTGTCTCCTTTTCCACGTCTGCCAGTGTTAACCGAATAAGGAAAATTCTACACCACAGAGGAGAATGTAAGTGTTCTTGTGCAAAGACATTAAGACACAGCTCTCACAGCAATCCTGTGTTTTCCACATTGCAGCTTGGTGTTAATGCATAAAGCTGCATTCCTACTAACAGAAGGTGTGATCACTCTGCTGGGGGGCAGAACTGTGACTATTGTATAACTTCGGTGGGCTTAAATGGCTAAACTTAATTGTGAATTGGCTGAGTTTTCACTACTGAAGAAATAGGCATGTCACGCCAGCTGGTGGGACTGGGAGACATCCAGCCTCACTCCGTGCAGGGTCTACAGCAATCCTTGCTGCCTGGAGGATGCTTCCTACCAGCTCCAAGGACGATGGGTGTGACCAGAGAGTTGATTTCTCATGAAACCAGGGTTCCGTTTCTCATGATGAGGAGGGGTTCCCACCTTGGCGAGTGGTTAACACCAAGAGTAGCTCTTGCCCTGTCGAACCAAACGAGCATCCTTTGGTGGTGACCACATGCACGGAGAGAGGGGTACCTGCGCTAGCCCTTCTCGGGCTCCCGCCCCGGCCCCGCAGCTGCCCCCGGGGGCCCCCATCTCCCTCTGGGTGCGGAGCCGCCCCGGAGCAGCCGGGGCGGGCACGGGACCATCCCCGCGGCGCCGTCCCGGGGCCCGCCGCGCACATGGCCAGCGCGCGGGCGGGGGCGCGAACGCTCCCCCGGGGAGGGTCCGCGATCCCGGCGGCGGCAGCGGGAGGCCCCCGCCCCGCACACCTCCCCCGCGCGGGGGAGCGGGAGGGAAACCCCAGTTCCGCTTCCTGACGGCGCCGCGGCCCGGGCGGGAGCGCGGCCGGAGCGCGGGCTGCCGGCGCCCATGGCCGGCGAGCGGACCCGGCGCTTCACGCGGAGCCTCCTGCGGCCGGGGCAGGCGGCGGAGCTGCGGCACAGCGCGGCGCCGCCGCCGCCGGAGCGGGCGGCTGCAGCTGCGGGTGCGGGGGAGCGCCGGCGGGATGCGGCGCGCATTGCGGGCGGCGGACCGCGCCGGCGGGATTGCGGCGGCGGGACCGCCCGGCGGGCACCGGCCCAGGTGCGAAGCGCGCTCGGGAGCCGACAGGGCGCGGCACGGCGGCAGCCCCGGGGCGGGGGGCGCAGCGCTGGGTCCCCCCGGCCCGCCCGGAGCAGCCCGCGGCAGCGCCGCGGCAGCGGAGCCGCTCGGCTGGTGCTGCGGTGCTCCGGTCCGCGCATCCCCGCGCCGATGCCGCGGACGGCGGCTGGCGGCCCTCGCTCCCCTCGGGGGTGAATGCCAGCTGCCCGGCATGCTCCCTTCGGCTTCGCCCGTTTTCTTCTCCTTTGGCTGCGCTTCGCAGGGGCAGACGCAGTGAATCCCGGAGAGCGCACTGCCGGTGCCAGCACAAGCGCCGGTGCTCGGGGGCCGGGACGGAGGCTCCGGCTGCCCCGGTGTGTGCCAGTCACGTGAGTTATCGGTGCTGCACAGCCCGTGTGTAACCATCGCTACTGAGATGCGTGTGCGCTCCTGGTGATTTCCACTGGAAACCCCACGGAGGAAGCCTGGAACGGCACAGAAACACTGACTCCGCTCTTCCTAGCAGCGTTCGTTTCTAAAACGCTTTGCGTTCAGCCCGTGTCTCTCCATCAGTGGAATAGCACGAAAGGGCTGTAAACTGTTACCACAGTATTTTCTCTTCCCTTTGCACACTTGTATGTAAGTCCTTAGCTGATAGGGATAAACGTTGAATTGTTAGGGTTCACACAGAAATATTGACTAGCCTTTTCAAATCGCTAGACATTTGTGAGTAATTTATTAGCCGTTTTTATATTAAGTTCCCTTTGGACTTAAAGCTATGTGAAAGGAGAGATATATGACTCCTTCTTAGATGATTAAGCATATTATTTCTGTGAATCATTTTAATTCAGATAAATATTTTCCTTTTCTAGTTTTTCAGGCAACACAGTTCATGAAATAGACTAAAAGGCTGAAAGAGAAAGTTGTAAGTGAAAGGTCATCATTCACCAAAGTTTACTCCAGTGCCTAAATGCAATGCATTCTCTGCGTAAAAGTACAGGAAGTAAGTTTCAACTGTATTCCCATAAAGTTAGTGGGCATTTTCCATCTGAGGTGCCTCACCCAGTACAAATGAAGAGCAGAGCTAAAATGACTGCTGTGCTTGGAGATAGCAGCCTGTTCATGGTTCCTACCTATCTGTATGCCAAATGTGAGTTGTTTTCTTTACCTCACTGGGTTTGAAGTGCTTTTGCAGTCAGCTTTGAAGGTCTTCATAAAGCATTCTCAAACTTGTGGCATGTGAAAGCTTAAAAGAGCTTACTTGTTTCTCCTGACTTCCCACAAATCTTGTATGTGATATCTTGTCAAATCCTGAAGTCAGTTCAACTGCACTGCCAACAGATTTATGTGGTCCTGCCCTCTGGGCACAGAGGTCAGAATTTGGCCCATGGTCAAACGGGATATACTGTGCTGATGAAGTTTTGGTGGAAACTTTCTAGGAACCATCATGGTTGGTTTGGGCTCTTACCAAACACTGTGCTGAGTAGCTGTCCCCTAAGAGGGTCCGTGTACTAGCTAAACTATTGTATTGTCTCATTGCATCTTAAAATATTATAAATGAAGTTCTGTTAGAGGTATATTTTACTCTGCTATGTCTCTGCTGCAGGAATGCAGAAGAATAACAGAATGAAATTGATGAAGCAAATCTGAATTTGATGGTCTGGCTCCCTTGAGAAGAGTGGGGGTTTTAATGTGTTGATAACAAATCTTATACTGCTAACTTAAGAATATAGTATTTAATTACTGCTCCTGTATTTGCATTGTATTTTATTCAATCTGTCTTTAAAACATCGAGACTTCAGTTGTTGGGTGACAAAAATCATCTGCCACTTCTGAGAGTTTGACTTCCTGTTGAGTGATGAAACATACTGGTGCTGGATTTCATCAGGGCTTTTGATTCAATATCTGAGGCAAATGCAGTCAGATCTGCAAAGATGGTCTTTTAAAGATGTTGAAGTTAAAATTTGAAGATACCAGGCAAAATTCTGGTTTCAGTTATACCGCTCAGTGGGAGCACTTAGGGACTTCCAGATGTTGTGTTTTATTCACCAGCAGGCACGATGGTTCTAAAGTCTGGGTTGCTTGCTGTGTTAAATATGTATGGCTCTGGGGAATTTAATGAAGTTACCATCTTTTTACCATACTTTTTTGGGCTGCCAGTAGTGTTGTCTGTGAAAGGCAAAGTTTTATAAAATACTTTATGCTGAGGATTCACGATGGATTACAAAGCAGCTGCCTTCAGGGTTAAATCTTTTCATGCTGCATCAGCTAAGAATGAGCAGAATTAACCATTATATCTTGGCTAACTAGGTTTGCAGTTTTGGGGCTGCCATGTAGAGCTGTGATGCTCTGTACTGGGCGGTGATTGTTGCCTTTGGATCCATAACATCTGGCCTCTGTGCCTTGCACATGGGACACTGGGTTGGTGCAGCCATTTTTGTAAATTGTTTTGTTGCTATTGAAAAAAGTCCCACAGGACCTGAAATTTCTGACTGAACTTGAGCTGACTTTTTGTACCAAATATACCAGATATTCTTGCAGAAGAGAAAAATTTGGTGTATTCAGGGAGGTGTATTGGTTCTGAACGCATCTTGCCCTGGATGTATCAGCACCTTATATTCCAGTTCAATTAAATCTGGCTTGTGTTGGAGTGTCCTGAAATTTGGCACAGCTGCTGTCAAGACTATGCAAAGAATTGGCCCCTACAAAGTAGGGGAAGTGTAAAGGTGTAACATGTAAAGAATTAAGCTTTCTGGTACTGCTTTTGCATATACCCTGTATTGAATTGCAGCTGGACCTCTGTTAGTAGAATTTGAACAGCACCTATGCTAGGAGTTGTTCATGTCTTAGAAGTTTGGTAAGAGCCCAGGGATCAAACGTCTAAACTGTCTTAGAGAAAAGTGTAGTGTTGTGTCTTTTAGCTCTTTTCTGTCTTCATATAGATTGCTTCTTCTTTTGCGTACTTTACATTTACTTTTGCTGATATTTATCCATCTAATAGGTGAAAAACAGTTGCTAATATTCAGCACACAAATCTGTTTGTTGAAAGAAAAAGGTGTGATAATCAGGAAAAAGTAAGGATGTTTGCCATTGGGTGTTGTATCTGCAGTGCCCTAAAGATAGAGAGTGAAACAGAGGTTGAGGGTGGAATATATGTGTGTATAGTGCTGGTAGGGGGTCATAACTGCAGTGCTTTGCCATAAGTGACACATTCTGCATTAATTACCCAACTCTTCAGCGGGTGGAAGGAGTGGTGTTAGTGGTGTGTGGCAGTACTTCAGGTGGTTTCCATAAGTGCCTTGCTAAGCTTTCAAGTAGGAATGGCAGTTCACCGAACTAGCCAGTGAAACAGATCAGTATCATCTAGAAGGTGAATAATTTATTGTATTTTGAGACTTGGTTGTGAAATTCTTTGTCTCTCCTAATAGAAAACTCTTGTTTGGAAGTTGCTTTATGAACACTCACTGCCACTGCCCAGGAGAGCTGAATAGCTGTGCACAAAAAAGGGAAATTAATATGTCTATAACTGCAGCAATGTTTTACTGGAAGTTTTTAAAATGGGGATGGGCCAGTCAGTGCTCCTAGAAATCAACTTGCTAGCTGCTTAGCTAATACTAAACTTCATGTTATGCTATTATTTCCAGGTCTCAATTAATTTGGCTAAGTACTGCTGGCTGCAGTCCTCATCCTTTACATAAAGTATTGTGACACTCTTTTTATAGAAAAGCTGCGGCCGGTCTTGCTCTTCGTCTCTCTTCCATAGTTAAATAAGTTAATAGTAGTCTGGAATTGGGCTGTTGCTCCACGTGTCTTTTTTTTGGCAGAGGTTTCTTTCCATCGCTCTGCAGCCAAGCACAGAGTAGTGGTGTCCAATCACTGAGTACTGGCAGTCTCTCTCGAGTGGAAGGCTGGATTACATGGCTCTCTCTTCCACACAAAATGGGTTTCTCTCCTTTTTACGTTGGCTGGGGCTGCTATACTTCCTCCCTGAAAGAATAAATTCGCTTAGTTTCCAGTGTGTATTTTATGTAGCGTGTTCTTTACAAATAATAAAGTCTCTATTTGTAGTTGTATATTTCTAGTTTTGTATAGGTGATAAAGTGGTTTGTGACTTCAGTGGTGTACTGTAGTCTCTCAAGAAGAGTCATGTATTGTTTCCAGTCTCACAAAGAGCAACCACTGCCTTAACAGAGCTTTGACTCTGCATACTCTGTAGGACCATGTTGCATGGCCTTGTTGCATGATCATGCTTGAATTGGACTTTCATGTTGTGAAAGAAATGACTCTGAAAACCTCCTCTGTTGTGAAGCTACGATGTTAACTGAGCTATTTCAAAGGCAGACACTGGGGCTGCGAAAGGCTCCCTTTCTTCTGAGGATGTTCTGATGTCTACTGTCCAGGGTTAACCCAAGTAAGGCATTTATACAGACAGTGAGTACACCACTTTATATAAAATAGACTGTATGCTTGTACATGGGTGTGCTGCACTGGTTTGGTTTGTTCAGGGCAGACAACTTGCCAGGCATATTTAGAATGTTAGCAACCTTCTGGGAATGTAGTGCAACGTGGAAGTACTAAACAACTTGTTTATATTTGAAATTTACCTGTGAACTCTGTTCATGAATCTATACTCAAATATCTATCTTTCATTAATATCCTGTGCAATATCCCTTACCTGGTCAAGGACAAGACCCATGTTATTTGCAAGTAGTCTCCCTTCTCTACATTTTTTTTTTTTTTAATTATTTTGAAGTGTCTGATGAGTAATTTTGTAGCTGTTTTTCGGCTGGAGTATCCCAAGGACACTTCGTCTGGCCCTGGCAAGGATCTGATTGCTTTCAGCTGGCTGCTGGAACCCAGATGTAAGGGCAAACCAAGCAAAGGGCACAGGCAAGAATGCATCACTTGCACATTCTCCAGCTGCTAGGCTCCCTCCTCTGCAGGCAGACAAAAGGGGCAAAGTCTGCTCCTGAGCAATTCTGGGAACTTCATCTGAGCCTGGTGCTGCGGATTAAATTGATGCAAAAATGAGGAAAAGGAGATAAGAGAGTCTCAGAGAGGGTGGAGACAGAGAAGGGAGGAAAATGGTTTAGAAAAAAGTTAAAAACATTGGAGAAAATGGGGGAGAAGAGAAAAGACTTTGTGGGGAAAGAGAGACTGAAGAAGACAATAAAACGAAGGAAAGAAACAAAAAGAGCTGCAAGAAAGATACCTCAGGTTGGTGAATAACTTCTGTAAATAAGCCCTTAATATGCAACCCAGGGCAGTCATTTGGTAGGTAGGGAGACCCAGGCACTTGGATTTAAATGCAGAATTTTTACTGTTGTCTTGCATCTGTCACTTGACTAACATTTTGTTTTAAATTTGTGGGAAGTGAGTCAGCTTGAGTAACTCAAAATGCTCTCAGTTTATAGAAGTTGCATTAA